ACGCAGGCAGGCAGACACGCAGGCAGGCAGACAGGCAGACAGGCAGGCAGACACGCAGGCAGGCAGACACGCAGACAGGCAGGCAGACAGGCAGGCAGGCAGACACGCAGGCAGGCAGACACGCAGGCAGGCAGACACGCAGGCAGGCAGACAGGCAGACAGGCAGACAGGCAGGCAGACAGGCAGGCAGGCAGGCAGGCAGGCAGGCAGGCAGGCAGGCAGGCAGGCAGGCAGGCAGGCAGGCAGGCAGGCAGGCAGGCAGGCAGGCAGGCAGGCAGGCAGGCAGGCAGGCAGGCAGGCAGGCAGGCAGGCAGGCAGGCAGGCAGGCAGGCAGGCAGGCAGGCAGGCAGGCAGGGAGAGGAGGGGGGGACGGGCAGGAAAGGAATAAACAAGAAAGCAGATGGCCGGAACAGCAATTGTCCCATTCCATGTTGATCACCTGGTGTGAAATGAGGTAGGTAGGCAGGCAGGGAGGCAGCATGGGAGGAGGGAGGGGTGGCAGGAAGGAGAGGGGGGGTTTGCGGTGTAGAAGGGGGACAGGGCAGGACTTTTAGATGGCCGGGCCAGTAATTGCCTCACTCACTCCATGTCGATTACCCAGTGTGGGATGCAGGCAAACACAATGACTGTTCCAGGCCAGGCCCGGTTTGCCTGACGCTGGTGTCATGAATCTCCTAGTAGCACGCATTGGACCCCGTGCGCAGAATAACTAGTCGTGTAAACGCCCTACTAGAAGCATACCAGACACGTACCATGCGGCCTACCAGCCCCAGACACGTATCACGCGGCCAGAGGCTGGAGAAGGGCCGGTTTGCCTAACGCTGGTGTCCTGAATCTCCTCATAGCACGCATTGGACCCCGTGCCAGGCACTAAATAACAAATTTGATGCCTTGCTAGCTCTACAAACATACCATGCGGCCAGAGGCTGGAGGAGGGCCGGTCTGCCTGACGCTCATGTCTTGGATCTCGTAGCATGCGTTGGAGCCCGTGCAGAGAATGACGAATTCGAGCAACACATACAGCCTGACTCACACAGACTAAGGCTGAAAAGACTGTACCATGCGGCCAGAGGCTGGCGGGGGACCGGTCTGCCTGACGCTCATGTCTTGAATCTCCTCGTAGCATGCGTTGGAGCCCGTGCCGAGAATGACCCCCAGCATCACATCTGACTCAATGAACCGTGCTCCTGCTAGCGTGCCCACTGCATCGTTCACCTGCAAAGAAACGGGACGGAATGGGATGGCTTGCTTAACCATGCTGTGCCTTAGGAGCACCTCTAATGACCCCCAGCATCACATCTGACTCAATGAACCTTGCTCCTGCCAGTGTGCCCACTGCATCATTCACTTGCAACGCAATGGGATGGACATGTAATGTTCATCTTATGCAATGCCTTTGAGGTGCCTCATATGATCCCCAGCATCACATCTGACTCAATGAGCCTTGCTCCTGCCAGTGAGCCTACTGCATCATTCACCTGCGAGTGAATGGGATGGACACTCGATGCTTATGCTATGCAATGTTCACGTTTTGCACTGCTGATGTTATGCAATGGTAAAGTTATGCAATGGTAAAGTTATGCAATGTTAATGTTTTGCAATCTTATTGCTATCCAATGTTGATGTTATGCAATGTTGATGTTATGTGGAACCTCGAAATTATGCAATGTTAGCGTTATGCAATGTTCATGTAACGCAGCGTTCATGCTATGCAATGTTCATGCTATGCAATGTTCATGCAATGCAATGTTCATGTTTAGGGTTCATGAATTGTAATATTCCTTCGATTCAGTGTTCATGCTATGCAATGCTCATGCTATGCAATGTTCATGATGGGCGAAGTTGATGGTGTGTAACGTTGCACGTTGCAAAACAACCACGTTAATAAAACGTCATATCTTGAAAAAAAACTTACTAGTGCCGAGACTTTCATGTCAAGCTTCTGCCGTTCAAGAGCCTCCTCTAGAACCTGAACAACGTCCCTCCCTTCCTGCACACACACCAGCGAAATTGTTCAACAGAATAACACACTTAGCGATGAAAGTTGACTGCGAGCTCTTACAATGAAATCAACAAGAAAGAAAAAAGCAGCACCGAAATTGCATTTCCCTTACATTCTTGGACCACATAGAGACAGATGTTCCTTAGTTTAGTAACGTACTACACCTCATAGAAACATCAATTTTGCCCCCACTCACTGTTTCAGGGATGTTGAATCCCTTGGTCCACTTGATAAGCCTCCCAGCGTTGATAGCCGTGTGGTCACATGGGAACGAGAAAGTGAATCCCAGCTCCCTGTGCTTGCCCTCTGCTGGCTTGAACTCCTCCTCTTCCTTTGCTACGAACGTCGCCAGCCTTGATGCAATGTAGTCAAACAGAGCCTGCCAAAGAGAACAGGAAACGGAATGGAAAATCTGTGTAAGGAGTACTCCTCTATATCATACTCCTTTTCTTGCCATGAAAGCCGCCAGCCTCGGTGCAATGTAGTCAAAGCGAGCCTGCCAAAGAGAACAGAAAACATAACATTCTTATTTTTAATAATAAAATAAGGCGCACTTTTGGTGAAGGAAATTTGTGAAAACAAATGTTAATACTTCTAGAAGAATAAACCCTTGGTGAAGGACGATTGTGTGAATTGGGCAAAAGCACCCACCTCAGTGGTCCCAGTCATGAGCTCGGGGCTGATGGAGGCACCCTCTGAGTCCACCTTGCCGATTCCACCGTCCCTCCAGAGGCGACTTTTAGGACGTCTCAAAAGTCTTTCCGTGCTGCCTTACCCTTCAAACCATGACAACACACCTATGTACTGCCTCTCACCACAACTCACCTCGGTGGTGCCAGTCATGAGCTCGGGGCTGATGGAGGCGCCCTCCGAGCCCAAGTTACCTCGCATCCATGCCGCTCCTCACAACAACACACCTCAGTGGTGCCAGTCATGAGCTCGGGGCTGATGGAGGCACCCTCTGAGTCCACCTTGCCGATCCCACCGTCCCTTCCCAGCAGAGGCACTCGCAGCACGCGGAAGTTGGTCCCGCCCAGGTCCAGCGCATAGAACACGCCCTTCTCCGAGCTGCACACACTCAAAAAAAAGTGTTTACACAGACGGAACCATTGCTACTCTTTTTGTTAGTTTCTCGCAACCCATTGTCCCCCGCCCAGGTCCAGCGCGTAAAACATGCCCTTCTCCGACCTGCATGCTGTAAAAAAATGAATGGTCATCCAAGAAGTTTCGTTGTAAATAGTTTGAAGACAGCTCGCTGCCGAATGTTACACCAAAGTCCACGGATTCAGGATTCACAACCATGTGACCGGCCACCATCTCCGCCTTAAATGCCCGCAGCGATTTGCAGCAGCCGATCCTTACTCGTGCTGCCTTTCGAATCGACTAAAGGATGCACGAATCAGGAAACGCCACTTACCCATCAGGAAGGCGGTCGACGTAGGAAGGAAGCATCTTGAGCGTGCTCCGCTGGGTGGTCCTCAAACCAGACTGCTTTGCGTATTCCACCCCCCAAAAACAAATTCAAGGAGACGTACCCGTCAGGGAGACGGTCGACGTAGGAAGGAAGCATCTTGAGCGTGCTTCCCTGCGTGCTCCTGAGTCCAGAAACCATCTCCGCCTTCATATCCGCTGCGATCTGCAGCAGCTTCTCCTTGCTCGTGCTGCACTCCTCCCTCAACCGATCGATCAGCTCTTTCGTCGAAATTGCTGAGATTTCTTTCGACGAGGCGTCATCGCGGCCCGTTTTCTTTTTCTGGCTGCAGTAGTAGCGCCGAACGAGGTACACTCCCGCTGCCGTGCCGGCCGCAGCGGCGACGATCAGAAGAAGATTTGTGTACCTTCCCATGCTTCACAGCCGCGTCGTTCACACAAAACACAAATCTGCAGCCCCCTGCTCTACTGGATGAAGAACGAAGAAAGCACGACCTGATGGTGGCTAATTTACACAGGCGGGATCGGCAACTGACAACGGAGAGGGGACAATCAGACGCGAGAAAGGCAGCAGAGGAGCAACCCAGGAAACATCAATGGAGGAGTAGAATCGTGGCGGAATTGAATGTGGAATTCGGCTGGTGAATCAAGCAAGTGAGAGCAGGAAGAGGAATTTCTGGGAACAGAAAAAGGCAAGACTGGAGGCTGACACTAAAACGGAAGTGAAAACAAGAATGTGACGGAGCGAATGTAACATCAACGAGGCCAAGAAATGGACCCGGCGGACTTGACCCAAGGATCCTTGGGAACTGCTCGCCACGCATTGGTCCGAAAGACTCGAGAGCTGAACTGACAAAATTGAGAATGTGGCGAATAAAAGTCTGCACACGTGGCTGGCAGTGCCCCTGCAAAATATCGACATGTGCTTCAGAGAGAAAGCGTTGCACTTTCAACAATTAAATCTCTAAAATAATATTTGCTATTATATATAACATTACACAAGGCTTGCAAACAGGTGATAAAAATACAAGGCTTTTCTTCCTTGGGAACTGCTCTTGTATCGTTAACCCCCTTTATTCTCCTCATTTTGCTTCTCTTCCGGATTTTTATTCCGCATTCCTCCCACAGCAGCAGCCTTAGCAGCAGCCATTCGTTTGCTCTCAGCTGTAGTGGGCCGAGCATGGTCCCGCAGGCTCGGCCAGTGTAGGTACAACTGTGCAATGAATAAAAAGGGGAGGATAAGAGATGGTGAGTGCATTGGGACCTTCGGGGATTGATGCATCGATTTGAGAGGTAGAGTAGAAACTGAAGCTGCCAACACCAGGTTGAATGCATGGCACATGGCACACGGCATATCGCACATGACGCATAGCACATTGCGCGTGGCGCAGGCACATGATGCATGGAACATGGCACATGGCACATGATGCATGGCATATGGCACATGATGAATGGAACATGGCATGTCGGACAGCGCCCATATAAAGCATAGCCCATGGCACATGGCACATGGCGCACCAGTGGAGGGGCGGAGGAAGGATGCATGGCAGTGCAACAAAGAGCAACCCTAACAGCAGAGCGCACCAGGCAGCACAAAGGCAAGGCACCCATCTGCTGGTAATCCAGCAAATGCCCTTCCAGAAGCAGAGCAGCTTGGTGCATGGAGGGGCGCAGAGCGGGCGTGTGGCGCAGGCGGAGCAGAGCAGCAGCAGAGCGACCCTATTAACAAGCCCCAGCTAGCAGCAATGGGCAGGAAACCCACCTTCTGGTAATCCAGAAAGTGCCCTTCCAGCAGCAGGGCCACTTGGTGCATGGAGGGGCGCAGAGCGGGCGTGTGGCGCAGGCAGAGCAGAGCAGCAGCAGCCATGCGGTGCAGCGAGGGCAGATCCACTGCACCCTCCACTCGCGGATCCAGCAGCAGGTGCAGTTTACCGGATCCCAGCAGAGGGAGGGCCTGAAAGACGAGGGGAGGCCAGAGAAAGGGGGAAGAACGAGAGAGCATATGTGAGTTGGCTCTTGCGCAGAGCAGGGCAGCAACAGCTATGCGGTGGAGAGAGGGCAGGTCCACTGAGCCCTCCATACGCGGATCTACTAACATATACAGTCTACCCGATCCCAGCACAGGGAGGGACTGGGGAAGGGGAAAGACCAGGAGGGTGGGTATGAGGTGATGTGTGAGTGATAAAAAAGGGGAGATCCACTGAGCCTTCCACACGCGGGTCTGCTAACAGATGCAGTTGACCCGAGCCCAGCAGAGGGAGGGCTTGGAGGCAAGGGGAAAGGACATGCGGGGAAAAAGGGGGCAGAAGAAATATATATTATGTGTGAGTCGGCTCTTGAGCGGAGAAGAGCAGAGCAGCAGCAGGCATGCGTTGTGCAGCGACGAGGAAGTATCCACTGCACCCTGCACATGCAGGTCCAGTAACAGGTGCAGTCGACCAGATGCCAGCAGCAGGAGAGCCTGAAAGGGGGGGGTTGGGGAAAGAGCAACACTCGTTCACTCAAACCCCAATTCCCCCTCCCCCTCCCCCCCCACACTCACCCACAGCACCAGGTCCACCTCCTTGCTTCACTCAACCACTCACTCACCCAACCCCCCATTACCCACCTTCACCCCCTCTCACCCCCCCTTACCCCACCTCATCCCGCCTCATCCCCCCTCACCCCGCCTCACACCCCATCATCCCTCCCCACCCCTCCAACTCACCCACAGCACCAGGTCCATCTCCTCCTTGCTCCTCCTCGGATTCACAGGCCTGCGACTCGTTATAAGCTCCAGCAGCAGCACTCCAAACGCGTATGTATCAGTGTGGGTGGACAGCCGCCCCCTAAGAAAATACTCGGGGGCCATATACCCCACCGTACCCTCTATAGGCGACTTAATGGATCCGTCTATAGCGGGTTTATTCGCCACCCCAGTTGTAGACGACACAGAGGCTTGTAAAGGAGAGGCTTGTAAGGGAGACGAGGAGGCTTGTAAGGGGGATGCGGAGGTGGAGGGGGGAGGGGAGGGAATCCATCTAGCAAGGCCGAAATCAGCAACCAGTGGTTGCCAGTCGTGGCCCACTAGAATGTTGCCTGTCTTGATGTCCCTATGCACTATGCACCCCTCTCCTGCTGCTGCTGCCCCTGCTGTTGCTGCACCTGTGGCTGAACCTTCACCTCCCTCTGCCGCCCCTCCTGCTGCTGCTGCTGCTGCTGTTGCTGCTGCTGCTGATGCTTCACAAATGCTGCTGCTACTGCTGCTACAGCCGCTGTGAAGATAGGCCAGCCCTCGTGCCGCCCCGACCACAGCCTGCACGCGCCGCTCCCACGGCATCACATCTCTTGTCTTGGAGTGCAAGTTGCGCTCCACACTCCCATTCCCTGCCAGCTCATACACCATAATATGCTCTCCTCCCTCCATGCAGTATCCCAGAAGCTTCACTATGTTCGGATGAGCACTGGCTCTTTCTACTATCCTCACCTCAGTCATAAATCTCTCATTCTCCTCTGCCTCCCGAGCCTTCCTCTCTTCTTCTCCTTGTTCCTCTAGGCCATCCCCCTCCTCGTTCCCCTCCTCCTTTCCCTCCTCTTTTCCCTCCTTCCCCTCCTCGCCAACACCTCCTCTCCTCCTCTCCTTCTCTCTCTCCTCCTTTTCCCTCGCCTGCTTTGCCCGCTCCTTGTCCCTGCTCCTCCCCTTCTTATACACCCTCTTAACCGCCACCCTCACAACCTTACTCGACCCCCCCGAACTCCTCAATCCGCCTCTACCACCGCCACCAACTGCACTGCCACTGCCCGTATGCTCCCCTATAGTAAGCTTCAGTTTCCCTTTATACACATGCGCGTACCCTCCCTTCCCTATCATGTTCTCTCGAGCGAAATTTCCTGTTGCTGCAACAAGCTCTTTGAGAGGAAAGATGCGGGCGGGAGAGTGTGTGGCTGTGATGGATTGAGAGGAGCGAGTGGAGGAGGATAGAGACTGGCCTTGCTGCTGCTGTGTGTCTGGATTCTGGTGTGGAAAGACGAGATGAAACAGGTGGTCTACTGATATTGGCGTGGTGCTCTTCCCTGCAGCAACAGAAGAAGCAGCAGACGCAACAGGAGGAGCGCCAGCAGAGGGTGCAGCGGAAGGAATCGGCACATCAAGCGGAGACGCTACAGCAGCAGCAGCAGCAGCAGATTCTGGGGGAATGCATGCCGCAGGATTCACAGCAGGGGAATCACTGGCAGAATCTGCTGCTGCTGCCACTGCTACGGTTGCAGCTGGAGCTGCTGCTTCTCCCTTTTGGAGGTTCCGCCTGGGTTTGCGAACGTTCAGTGTCGGCTTTGGCACCTGTGTGGCAGGTGCCTGTGGGCCAGCAGGCAGTGCAGCAGCATGAGAAGCAGCAGCCACAACAACAGCAGCAGAAGCAACTGCATCAAGAGTCATTCCTTCTCCAGCACCAGCAGCAGCAGCAGCAGCAGCAGCAGAAGCAGTTGTGACAGCAGCAGCTGCGGAAGCTACAGGATTATCCCCACTTGCAGCCCCATCAGCAGGGCTGCCAGCAGCAGCGGCGGCACTAGCAGCAGTCGCAGTAGCAGCAGGGGCAGCAGCACCAACTCCAGCAGTAGCAGGCAGATGCTGGGGCTGGGGCTGGGGCTGGGGCTGGGTCTGGGTCTGGGTCTGGGTCTGGGTCTGGGGCTGGGGCTGGGGCTGGGGCTGGGTCTGGGTCTGGGTCTGGGGCTGGGGCTGGGGCTGGGGCTGGGGCTGGGGCTGGGCCTGGGTGTGAGCAGGCACGTTCTTAGGCCAGGGCCGGCGGTTCAGAAGCGCAACATGCCGGTTCGCGGCAAGAAGCCCATCCATAGACCGCCTTCCCCCACCCCCTTGCACAACCCCTTGCGCCCCCTCTGCCTGCTGCTGTGCTTGCCCCGCCAGAGGGACACTTGACTCCCCGAAGACAGACGTGTGGAGAGAGGCGGGCGGCTTGGCATCCGAGCCTCCTACTACTGTGGTGTGAGAGTCTGATACTGCTGACCCGGCTGGAGTGGCTGCCTGGTGTGTACTGGATGGTATTCTGAACCAGCCAGTCAGGCCAGGGGAATCGGCAACAGGAGCAGCAGCAGTAGCTGTCGCAGTAGCAGCAGCAGGGGTCCCAGCAGTAGCTGCTGCCGCCACTAAAGATGCTGATGCTGATGCGTCAGGACGAGAAGAGATTTGAGGTGGGGAAGAAATAGCAGCAGACGCTGAAGCAGCAGCAGCAGTGGCAGCATCATGACCAAAACTTCTTCCTCCCAGTTTCAGCAATCCCCTCATGCTCCACCCACCCTTGCCTTCCTCTCTCCTCCCTTCGCCTCCCACCCCTCCCGCAACCCCCCCTTTCTCGCACTCTCTCTCATGTCTCTCCCTCTCATTGCCCTCCCCTCTCCCATCACACTCTCCCCTCTCATCGCACTCTTCTAATCGCCTGGGCATACTAGTATCTATTCTCCGCTGCTGCTCTATCCCTAATCCCCCCTGCTCTTGCCCTTCACCAGACTCCTGCTCCTCATACTCTTGCTGCTCATCCTCCTCCTCCTCGTCCGCCTCCTCCTCATCCTCCTCCTGCCGTTCCGTCTGTTCGTCTCCGCGCCCAAGATCACTCCTCGACTCCCCTTCCCTTTGCCCCTCCTCCTCTCTTTGCCCCTCTCCCAACCTCGACGCCCCTCCTCCCACCCTCTGCCTGTGCATCTGCCTCTGTATCCTCCTGCTGTGCTCGATGTTGATATTTGCTAGATCTGAAACCACCCTCACACTCCCACTCACACTCCCACTAAAACCCTCACTCGCACCCTCACTCCTTCCCGTGTACCGACTCACGCTCTCACTCCCCTCCCCATATCGACTCACACTCCCACTCTCATCGTAGCACGCGCTCATGCCGCTGGTAACCAGGTTACTAGAATGGTACGAACCATTCAGCCCCCTAGGCGCTACTCTTGCTCGACACGACGGGCGGATGGGAGGGGGGCGAGAGAGGGAGGAGGGGTGGTGGTGCTGGGGAGGGGTGAAGGGGGGAGTGAGGGAGGAGAGGGAGGAGAGGGAGGATGAACAAGAGGTAAGGCTCTCTAATGGCCTATGCATGTATGTGCTGGTGATGGTGGTTCTGCTGTCCACACTCCTACCATCCACACTCCTCCCATCCACACTCCTCCCATCCACACTCATCCCATCTACACTCCTCCCATCTACACTCCTCCCATCCACACTCCTCCCATCCACACTCCTCCCATCTAAACTTGTCCCTCCCCACCTGTCCCCCTCTCTGCTATGATCTCTCAAAACAAGTTCTTGCGTCCCTGCCATCACCCCTCTGCTGCTCCTGCTGCCACTCCTGCTGCTCTTGCTGCTGCCCTGCCTTCCCAGCGCACTAGCAAAAGCACCAGAAGCACCGGAAGCACCATCACCAACCAAAGCACCTGCTGCTGCAGTTGAGAGACCCGATTGTTCATGCTTTAAACTGCATTCACTGCTTGTTCTTGAATTCCTTAATCGTTCTCCGTCTGTCCCTTCACACACAAGCACCTGTGCACGCCTCTTTCTCCCCCCCTCCACCCCGTCTATTCTCGCTTCTTCCCTCCTTTCCGCTTTCCCTTCAGCCCTCTTGTCTTCCCTCTCGTCTCCCCTCCTGTCTATCCTCACTTCATGCCCTTCATCTAAGCTTCGCTCCCCGACCACCACATCCTCCTCTCCTCTCCTCTCCTCCATCCGCTTGTTCCTCTGTTGCTGCTCCAACTCCTTCCCAGCACTCCCGCAACTGCTCCAACTCGAACCTCCATCTTCCTCCTCCTCTCCCTCCTCCTCCCCCTCCTCCTCCCCCTCCTCCTCCCCCTCTCCCTCCTCGTCCTCCTCCTCCCCTTCCCTCTGCTCCCCCTCCCCTTCATCTACCTCCTCACAACCCTCCTCCCCCACCACCCTTCTCCCCACTCGTTCACGCCCTTCTTCTTCCTCCTCATCCCCCTCTTTGTCCTCCTCCTCTTCTTCCTCCTCTTCTTCCTCCTCCTCCTTCACCCCATGCAGACTACTCTTGTGGCTCTGCACACTCGACCCATCATCAGCACAACCCACCCTCCACCCCGCCCCTGTTCCCACCCCCATCCCTACCCCTGTCCCCACCCCCATCCCCACCCCCTTAGCACGAACCTCCCCTTCTCCCTCCCCTTCCACCCCTCTCCTCTGAACGCCACCACCATCCCGTGCTGGCTTCACAGACCAAGAGGCGGAGGGAGGGTGGGAGAGGGTAGCGGAGGAGCTAGAGGAATGGGAGGAGCGAGTGTGCAGGACAGACGGAGACTTATGAGGAGCCTCGGCACCATCCCGTGCTGGCTTCACAGACCAAGAGGAGGCGGAGGGAGGGTGGGAGGGGGTAGCGGAGGAGCTAGAGGAATGGGAGGAGCGAGTGTGCAGGACAGACGGGGAGGAGGAGAGTGAAGACGACGGCGTGATCTGCTGGTGATAGTAGTGAGTAACGGGTGTATGTGCATCAGGAGCAGCAGCACCACCACCAGCAACAGCACCAGCAGCAGCAGCAGCAGCAGCACCAGCAGCAGCAATCGTGGCTGTAGCTACCTTAGTTGTAGCGGTTCTGGCTGGAAAACTCTTGGCTGTAGCAGGCGGCATCGCAGAAACCCTAGCAGCCAAGCGTTGCTCCACTGCCACCGCCTCAGCTGTAGCTGCTGCGCTCGTATCTGAGCATGCGTTACCAACAGGACCTGGGTTGTCAAAATCATCATCATCATCATCTTCATCATAATCATCCCCACCAACAGCTGCAGAAGTAACAGCAGCAGCTGTAATAGCAGCAGCAGTGAGCTCGGAGGAGGGAGGGTAGGCAACTGGAACAGCTGAGGAGGACTGAGAGGACGAGGAAGAGCCCGAGGGAGACAGGGGAGGAGAGGGGTGAGGAGACTCAGAACGCAAAGCAGCAGCGTCAGTATCAACTGGCCCAGCTCCTCGACCATCGTCATCCTGAGCATGGGCCTGCACTTGCAAACACTCCCCCTCTCGTGCTGACGGGCGTCCTTTCTGGGACAACTCACGTGATTCCCATTCCCCGGCTGAAGGTTGGGGTCCAGGCTGCCTACAGTTGCCTGGGAGAGTTGCTGGGCCAGGGGTTGAGCCTGAGGCTGGGCCTGGGCCTTCCCTGATCGCTGCTGCAGCAGCGGCGGCAGCAGCGGCAACAGTACTACTGACAGAGGCCCGCCCTGCTGCTGGTCGTGCTGCTGCTGCTGTTGCTGCTGCCCCAACTGGTGCTGCTGCAGGCGCTGCTGATGATGATGCAGTGTGCAGAGCAGTGGGACGTGTGTGACCCAAATGACCCTGCTGTTCCCCTGCTGCTCCAGATGACCCAGAGGCGGCAGCATCAGCAGGATAAGCGGATAGAGCTCTCGAACCCACTGCAACAGCAGCAGCACGAGCAGCAGCAGCAGCAGAAACAGATGCAGCAGCAATCACACCTGTAGCACCAGCACTCCCGCCCCCACCACTCCCAGCAGCCTCCAAAGCAGCAGCACCACCGCTACCAGCAGAGCCGGCACCTCCAGCACTGAGGGTGCGGGCGCGGGTAGCATTGGGCCTGTGGCGGCCCCGGATGGGGTGGTTGGGGTAGCGGAAATCAACGTTCCCTGACTGCAGCACGACACGTGAGGAAGAGGGGTCCACCACCAGAACCACACAGCCTAGTGGGGGGCGCCGGGCACAGTAGCTTGCTGTGTTGGGACCCGATTGCCTGTTGGTGTGGGGGGGGGGGAAGAGAGAGGAGGTAACCAGGGGGTAGATGAGGAGAAGGGGTCCACCACGAGCACCACACACAGCCTAGTGGGGGGCGCCGGGCACAGTAGCTCGCAGTGCTGCTGCCAGACCCAGAGTGCCTGCTGGTGTGGTCTGTGCGGGGGGGAAGGGAGAGCCGGATACAAGGGGCGGATGGGGTGGTTGGGGTAGCGGAAGTCGATGTTCCCAGACTGCAGCACGACTCGCGAGGAGGAAGGATCCAGCACCAGCACCACGCAGCCTAAAGGGGGACGCCGGGCGCAATAACTTGCTGTGTTGGATGATGACAGGGCGGGAGGATGAGGAGGAGGGGTCCACCACCAGCACCACACAGCCCAGAGGAGGGCGGCGCGTGCAGTAGCGTGCAGTAGTGTGCAGTGCAGGGGCCCAATTGCCTGTTGGGAGGGTGGAAAGAGGGAGAGAGAGAGGGGAGGCGGTGGTTGGGATAGCGAAAGTCAGCGGTCCCCAACTGGAGCACCACACGTGAGGAGGAGGGATCCACCACCAGCACCACACAGTCCACCCATAGGGGGTCGCCGGGCGCAATAACTTGAAACGCTGCTCCCACCAGAGTTCCTGTTGGGGGCAAAGGGGGTTGGGACGGGATAGGACAAGACGTTGAGTCCCGACTGCAGCACCACAAGGCAGGGGGGGTGTCGACCACCAGCACCACACACCCCAGGGGGGGGCGCCAGGCGCCCCAGGCGACCTGCATCCCTCCCACCTACCTACCACACTCATCCCTACCAGTTGTTGCTGGTGTTGCACTCCCTCCAACCGCTAGGCCTGGAGAGCTTATGAGGCCTGTGAGATCCAAGTGACGAACAGCCTACTAGTGTGCTGCGATTGAGCAATTCTCACCTTTGACTTGCCGACCTGCATCCCGCCGCCAGCTGCCACACTCATCCCTGCAACCCCAGCTGCTGCAGCACCTGCCTTTGTTTAGGCGCCTAAAAAAAGCACCGGCTGCTGCGGCGGCAGCGGCGGCAGCTGCTGAGAAAATCTCACCTTGATGTGCCAACCTGCATCCCGCCAACCACCCTCATCCCCGCAACCCTTGCTGCTGCTGCGCCTGCTGCGGCTGCTGCGGCTGTTGCTCCTGTGAATGAACGAATCTCACCTTGACTTGCCGACCTGCATCCCACCAACCACACTCATCCCTGCCACCCCTGCTGCTGCTGCGCCTGCTGCTGCAGCCTCCCCCCTCCGCCTCTCCTCCCGTGCACCCTCCCCTTCTCCCTGCGCGTTCTCCTTGCCCTTGCCCTTCCGCCCCTGCCCCCCCAGCAGCAGCGTGGTTGCAGAGAGCGCAGCAGCCTCTTTTAAGAGCGTGTGCGGCACTGATTTGCCTCGCACTATACGCACCTCCACCTCCATCTGAAGGGGAAGGGAGGGAGGGGAAGGACGGGGAGGGGCGAGGAAGGGTGAGGCTGGAACGCCTCTTTCAAGAGCGTGTGTGCCAACGACTTGCCTCGCACTATACGCACCTCCACTTCCATCTGAGGGAAGGGGGAGGGAGGGGAAACAAGAGAGAGGGGGAAGGAGCAGCCTCTTTCAAGAGCGCGTGGGGCACTGACTTGCCTCGCACTATACGCACCTCCACTTCCATCTGAGGGAAGGGGGAGGGAGGGGAAACAAGAGAGAGGGGGAAGGAGCAGCCCCTTTCAAGAGCGCGTGGGGCACTGACTTGCCTCGCACTATACGCACCTCCACTTCCATCTGAGGGAAGGGGGAGGGAGGGGAAACAAGAGAGAGGGGGAAGGAGCAGCCTCTTTCAAGAGCGCGTGGGGCACTGACTTGCCTCGCACTATACGCACCTCCACTTCCATCTGAAGGGAAGCGGGGTGGAAGGAGGGGAAATAAATATCTTGAGTCGATCCCAATGCCATCTTGAAGAGCGTGTGTGTCACTGACTTGCCTCGCACTATCCGCACTTCCACTTCCATCTGAGGGGAAGAAAGAGGGAGGGGACGGATGAGGAGGGCGGTTGGCGTCGTGGTGATGATGCTCGTGTAGAAAGGACTTCATGTCATGAAGAACGTTCTTAATGTGAACAACGGACTCATCCCAGCTGCTCTGCATGCACTGTGGCTGGTGTGGTTTCAGCAAGCGAGCGACGTCGTGTGACATGTGCAGGTTGTACCTACCCGCCCCACCATGCACATTCCGATCATGAAGGACTCACCCCAGCAGCTCTGCAGTGTCGCCGGTGTGGTTTCAGCAAGCGAGCAACCTCGTGTGACATGTGCAGGTTGTATCCCCCCCACCACGCGCGCTCCCTGCTCTTCACCTCTCTCTTGTCGCTGCGGCCTGCACCGGCATGGAATAAGGAGGGAAGAGAATAGACGGAAAGCTGCAACGAGGTGACTCCACGTGACATGTGCAGGTTCTACCCGCCTGGTTCTACCCGCCTGGTTCTGCCTGCTCCACCATGCCCTTATTTGCTCCCTACTCCCCCTATCCATGTGCTTGCTGCAAGCATGACTATGCAATGTGTTGTTCTTCTGCTTGACGAAACTGGGACTCAAATCGAGCCACTCACACCTCTGTGACTGCTCTCCTTGGCCTTTATCTATCATCATCCTCTCCCCACCCTTCCAAACCATTCTTAAACGGGACGCAAACCACATCACTCACCTGGACTGAGCCTGGACCGGACTGAACCAGAGGAGTGGTGGTGGCGACATGCACTAGCACCAGCTTCACTCCTGCCTTTTGAGTCGACTCATAAGTTTCCTCATTCCCGGAAGCGCGTCGAACCAAGTGACACACCTGGGCCTGACTGAACGAGGGGAGTGATGGTGGCGACGTGCACGAGCACAAGCTTGCCGCCTCGCTTCACCATATTCTCAATCGCGAAGTCAACGACCTTCTGACCGCTTTCATTAACATCCACACCCACCACCACCACTCCCCCGACTCTCTGCCGTATCCTCTCCCTTTCCTCAGCCGCTTTCGCCGCTTCCTTCGCGAGCCGCTCCTCGTAGCGCCTTTGCTTCGCCTTGCGAAGCGTACGGACATCCGGGTCGAGGTTCGGGTCGTCATCGGAGATGTAATCGTCGATGTAATAGTCGTACTTGTCGTTGTGTATGGGAGCGACGGAGAAACACGAAACCATGGCTCTTGGCGTTACAACTGGAATTGCTGCCACAAATGGGGCGTCTAATAACGAGTACGGACTCTAAATTACATCAAGCAACTCGTTAAGGTGACAGTCGGTGCGATAAGCGCATCTAACGTCGAGAATGTTAGCAACTAAGAGGCACGATACCATAGCTGGATGCTGTCGCTGGGCCTTTCGCGTTAAACAGTAAGAATGCGGGAATTACAGGAATAATAACAATAATATAGCCTCCTGGTGGCATAAGATCGAGAAAAAGACGGCCTTGTGAAGACTCACACGTCGACTCAAAAGCCACCAAATAAATAAATATACAGTTGTGAGTGTTGTAACCTAAGCTGTCCTTGCCTAGACTACCCTCGAACGCTCCACTCTACTGACACAAAACTAGCCAAGAGGATAGACTTTCTTTCCCCCACCGACAAAAAAGGGACCCTGTCTGTCACCCATGCTCGGAGTCCTCCTGAGTCCTGACCAGACTCCTGAGCTGGTTCATTCAGTTTAGATGTACGCTGCGTGACGTGTTCACGAGGACCAACGGAGAGGCTCGAAATTAGGGTTTCCGCTTTCATCAGGCACTGCAGGCCAGTGGGCGAGCAGGCGACGGGCGAGCGGACGAGCGGACGAGAGAAAGTGGGCGAACAGAGGCGAGGCTCTGTGCCACTGTATTTCACGAGGGGAGCTGCCTGCTGCTCCGTACGATCGGACGATGTCTGCTCTGCACTGCGTGGTGGATGCCTTTCCATCTACACCCAGTTTCTCGCCATAGTGGATTTCGGTATACTGATTGCCTGTTTGTAGAAAGTCACCACGTCCAGGAGCTCGCTATCACCACGTTATAATGGACTTCGCACCAATGCGTTCCTGTGTGGTGCGTTATGTTCAAACATGGTCAATAAACATTCTAAGATGGCTGGGTATGTTACTCGGGGAAAATGAACCTTTGGAACCTCCCCTCACAACAAGGACAGTTAAAGGCAAAATCTGAATAGTGTCGAGGAACAGTAGCGTGTTACGTGCTTCAGTGTAGCGAGAGACTGGCATAAGGACTCCACGAAAAAGGATGTGGTACACCAAAACCGTCGGAAATGGGATTCGAACCTACCGTAATACCCCGGATAGTAGCGCATATACGCTTATAATAAATTCATTCTTTTTAGGGGGGGCGCTTGTAATTGAGTAACGGCCATAAGCGCCGGCGCTTTTATAAAGGCAAAATTGAATTTCACTGTAAATGATATCATTATGAAGCCCTCAATAAGGCGAATACAACACTGTACCATGCGCGCGGGGTCGTGCATGGAATGACGGCGAAACTAGCTGCACAAAACCCGTCCCGGTGCAACGCACCTGCCATCACTGATGCAAAACCTGCCATGCGGCCCAATCAGGTTGGCATGCGCTGCCAGGCAGGAGCATCTCGGCAGAACCATCCAGAACGTGATGGAATCTGCCGTGCCAGCGTAACATGGATGGTGCCCCCAACCCTCCTCTGCGGGTTGAGGCAGGGGTGTACTCGTTTCTCATCGACGAGGACCCCGAGCCGCAAACCAGAAGGGGTCCCCTTCAATCTTTCATTTCAACACCCATTCTTGCAGTTTTTCATTAATTATTCTTTTTCTCGCCCGCCTGGCTGCGGAAGCCATGGCGGAATTCACATGCACTCATTTTCTCTTCAGGAAAAAACCTTCCAGTAGGCCCGCGTACCGTGTTACAGCTGATGGGTGGTATAGCCGCATACCACCAGACCCTCCAGAGCCACCACAGCCTCCTGCGCCGCCTGCTCCTCCGGCTCCTCCAGTGCCTCCGACTCCTCCAGTGCCTCCGACTCCCCCTGCTCCTCCTGTTCCTCCCTCTCCTCCGTGTCCGGTGGCCCCTCACGTCACCGACAACCACCCCGTGCTCACTCTCCTGCTCCCATCGGCGTTCGACGAGTATCTGTCGGAACCGGATCATGACAAGGGGCCCGATGTTGACGTACCCACTCCAACGCCAGCACCACGTTGGGGCCAGCCAAAAGATTTCACGTGGGACGAATCTGCAGACGGCGCTGACGACGACGTGCAAGACGCCGAGGAAGGTTGGCGCGCTGAGGGCAACGCCGGCGCCGAGGGTGGCACTGAGGCCGACACCGAGGCCGCTTGTGAGGCCGGCACTACTGAGTATGTGTTTCCCGAGGGTGCGCCGGGCAGTGACGACTACGACGGCGTCGAATACTGGTCACGCGATGGCCTCCCCGAGAAACTCCTGATACCAACTTATCCTCCACGTAATCGAAAGCGACCTCACCCTTCTTCACAGAACCGTGATTCTCGCCCCCCCTCTCCCAGGCACAAGCCCAACGACCACAAGTGTCAGGCCTATACTGCCGTCGAGAAGTTGAAGTGGGTCGCGCAGCTGGATGTGGCGGTGTCGGTGCGCGCTCTGGCTCGCGAAAGTGGCATCCACCGCAAGTGCCTTGCCAATTGGAAGCGTGCCGCTGATTTCCTCAAGGAAGCCCACTCTGCCAGGAAGCGCATGCACGGTCGCGGCAGGGCGTCGTGGTACCGCCCGATGGAGATCAAGGTGTATGAGCGACTGCTCGACTAGCGACGCAAGGGAACCGCGGTGTCCGTCGGCCGCCTGCAGGAGTGGTCCCGGGAGTTCATGAAGTTTCTCTACCCCCTCGTGAAGTGGAAAGGGAGCCAACGGTGGTCGGACCGGTTCCGTCGGCGGTGGAATCTCAGCGTGCGAATGAAGACGAAGGTCGCCCAGAAAACCGCCGCCCGTAAGAATCAATTTTATTCTCTATGCCATGTGTATGCACTTGTTACTCACTAACCGTAACTGTGCTCAACCGCAGATGTCGCGGAGCAGTGCATGAAGTTCTGGCAATTCGTCCGTGACAAGCGTCGGGAGCGCGGCATCGAGACGACGTGGATTATCAACGCCGACCAGCCGCCGCTGTGGCTGGAGATGCCCGCCACCACTACCGTCGATCAAACCGGTGTTCGGTCGGTGCCCATCAGGAGCGCGAGGTACCAGAAGGAGCGCGTGACCATGATGTCGGCGTGCACGGCGGACGGGATGAAGCTGAAGCCGTGGGTTTTTTTTCAAGCGGAAGACCGTGCCGAAAGGGGTGTTCCCGCCGGGTCAGTCATGATTCTTGTTTGTATGCTTTTCACCGGTCCTGTTTTTTAAGAGAAACTTACAAAAGCTTGTTTGTTATGCAGATGTGGTCGTGGCGTGTCACGAGAACGGTTGGATGGACGCGGAAGGCGTCATACGATGGCTTGAGGAGTGTGTCAAGCTCTTTTTAAAACCTGGGTTCGGGAGGCATGCGCGGAGCTCGATGGTCGTACTGGACTCGTACCGCGGTCACTGTTAGAAAGAAGAAGTGTTGGACTAGAAAGGAAAGGGAGTACAAGTACCTAACCCTAGAATTGTGTACCCCCTAAAGGCTAACCCACTGTAGCCTACACAAATACAACATATATAATGTTTGACACACCCCCATAGGCTAAGTGGGGGAGAGCAAGCGGTCACAAGACCAGTCAAAGCAAAGCAAAGCAAGACAAGCTCAGGGTGGATCTCAAGGATACCACACAAATTCCGAGCACAAGCAAGTGGTCACAAGACCAGTTCACATGCAGTTTGATAATAGAACAAGAGGTACAGTGATCACAACCTAGCAAGTGTAAGCATGCAGGTATATATATAGAGATCATAGTACAAGCAGAGTCAATAAGTGAGCAAGTGAGGGAGAGTAGGCACAAGGCCTAGAACAGTACAGAAACGCTGATGATCACAAGGCTGAAGTGCCTTGGTGAACACATCAGCAGTGTTGGCCCGAGTGGCCACGTACGAGAGACGAAGCTGACCCTGCAGCTCTCGCACTAGGAAGTAGCGCAGAGCGATGTGCTTCGTTCTGTGCTCCAGTCTGTGCTCCTCACACAAGGCAATGGCTGCCTTGTTGTCGACGTACAGCACTGGAGGAGAACGAGGCCGCTCTCCCAGGTCGGTCAGCAGGTAGGTGAGCCAGCGTAGCTCCTGGGCCGCCATGGCTGTGGCGTAGATCTCAGCCTCACAACTGGAGCTGAGAACAGAAGAAGAGCGTGTAGAACGCCAGGAAACAGAGCCAGAGCCAAGGCTGAAGGTGTAACCCTGAGACGACCGCTGCGTAGCCTGGTCGTCAGCCCAAGAAGCGTCTGAGTGTCCAGTGAGGACAACGTCGCGCCGTCCTCCAAGCACAAGCCCCATGCCCGACCTACTGCACAGGTAACGCAACACCCTCTTAGCGGCATCCATGTGCTCCTTCTGGTGACGGCCAGGAGCGACATAGCGTGCTAGGATGCTAAGAGGGTATGCAAGGTCAGGTCGAGTGCAGGTCATCAGGTACATGAGGCAGCCAACAAGCTCTGGATACGGGCCACTCGGCTCTACGGACTCATCCGAAGGCAGAGCTGAGAGCGAGTGACCGGTAGGCAGAGGAGTGGGCTGAGGCGAGGAGTACGTGAAGCCGAAGCGTTGAAGGACCTGTTGCACCATGTGTGACTGAGTCAAGGTGATGGTGCGCTGTGCTCTGTCCCGGGTGATCCGCAAGCCAAGATAGCTTGTCAGCTCACCCAGGTCTGTGCACGTGTGTCTCTTCTGCAGCTCCGACTTCACGTGGGCGAGTGCCTCAGTGTCAGCAGTAGCAAAGACCAAGTCGTCGACGTACACGAGAACGTAGAACGGCGTCAGAGTGGTGTCGGTGCGTAGAAACAGCGACGGGTCAGCAGTAGAAGGAGCAAACCCAAGAGCCGCAAGCGTAGTCCTCAGTGTGTCGTGCCACTCACGGGGTGCCTGGCGGAGACCGTAGACTGGCCGCCGGAGGCTCCACTGGGTACCAGGAGGGAACGACCCAGTGAAGCCAGGTGGGCGGCGCAGCCAGATCTCCTCGTGCAGGCTGCCCTGTAGGAACGCAGTGCTGAAGTCAAGAGAGTGGAGCACGTAGTCACGCTGAGCGGCGACGTGCA